CGTCTTTGCCTCCCCCGGGCCTCAATATGCTAGTGATGAAAGACGGGAAGTAGCACAAAGAGAAACAGGCCCCGCCGAATGCACTGTGACCCGTGTGGCACCTTCTGCCTTTCTATCGACAGTGCCGTACCTCTACCAATACCTCTGGTCTCTGCCACTCCTGATCTGTCTGAAGGTACCTAGCAGACCTCCATTACCCGGGCCCTTTCCAGGCACGCCCACATAGCCGCAAGCCCAGGCCTTCTTCGGCGCTCTTCGTCTTAGTTCCCCCTTCCATCGCCCGTCATTCATTCATCCGCCCATCCATCCACCCACCCATCCACTCACACCCGTTTCCCCCTTCTGCCTGAGGTGTGGTAGCTGGTGCAGTGTGGTCTCTGATCTCGCCTTCTCCCGCCTAAAACCCGCCTTTGTTACCTGCCCGGCCCCAGGGCATCATCATTCCATTGGCACATTGGGTACCTCGTGCTTCAGCGACCAAGCAAGCCTTGACTCTGTGCCCTGGACATCCATCTCACTTGTTGCAAAAAAAGCGTCCCTCCACCCCAGTCCCGCGCTGGTCTTGGATCTTGCGTTTGGTGGTATCCGTATTACTGGCTGGTCCTGAGTCCCCTTCCCCTTACCTGCTCCGTTCGTACCTTAGCACCACACCCAGGCCTTTCCTTACCTCATCTGCCCAACTTGCTACGCAGTGCTCGTCCAGTATCTGATCTCCTTTCCATCCTCCTCCTCCTCCTCCTCCTCCGCTTCTTCCTCCCTCCCACTCCCCAAATCCCCAAATCCAACCAACACCTCTCGGTTGGTTTGACTCTCCAATCCCATCTCCTTCTCCTCCTCTCCCACCTCTCCTTGCCGCCCTTCGACAATCCATCCAGAGACAGCCACCTTCACAGGGAGGTGTGAAGGCATTTGGGCGTCAACCAGCGATACCACCGCAATCACAGAAAAATCCACTTTCCACTGAGACGCCCTGTTCATTCCATTACACCAGCGCCAGGCCCAGCGACCCACGCTTTCCGCTTGTCAACTCCGATTGTTAAGCTTCCGTCTCCCGCGCCCCATACCGCACTTCAGTCCCTCAGTGTCACTCCCAGTCTAGACAAACCGACGCTCGTCTCGTCCATTTCCCGGAACAAGCCCGACCTTCTTGTTTCCAGCCGATACCGTCATTCTCGCTTTATTCCGCCGCTGCATTACACCCTCACATACTCCATTATACGCGCATTCTAACCATCACTGCATCTTCGCAAATCCGACATCGCCAACCCAGACCACGTCGATCCGTGACGCTCCTGCCGCGAGGTGCGACTACCCGTACCTTGCGCCTCCTCTTGCCTCCTGTATCGCCGCACGTCTTAAAAACGCATACCGCATTGCCCACTCGCCAAACTCTGACGCACTCCCTCGCCTGGACGCTTTGACGACAATCCAAGCCGCTTGGAAATCTTCTGTTAACACTGTTTAATGAGCACTCCGCATCGATTCCACACTCCGACGCTGCCTCGACCCCCTAAACACCGTACGACGCCCTCTCGGTTATCTGGGCTGTGCTACTTGGAGCTCTGATTTCGCACAATACCTGGGTCTCGATACTTTGGGGGACAACTGGCTCATCTTGCACACCGACATGGCCGGATACAACAACCGTCCGTTGAGTTTTTCCGAACGGAGGGGGAGCATGCTTAGCGACGACATGACGCTCAACACCGGAGGAATGTCTAGCAGTTCGACGAGATTGGAGAAGATGCCCGCGCGGCCTGGCCACATGCGAGGCCCTCCGACGCCTAGCATGACGACGCCTGCTGCCGACTTTGACCAACAATTGACTGCTTCGCCGCCACCACCTCCGACTCCGGCAGCTTCTCCAGGCCCGTCCCACCACGAGCTTGACTGGAGTCACGCTGCAGATGATGAGGATTTCTTCCTGGCTAAAGTTCGCCACCACTTCAAGAACTCTGGTGGTCCGCACCGAACCAGACTTCTCGCAGATCTTCTAAATCTTTGCACAAGCCAACAGCTGAGCTTCGTCCACCAATTCGTCAGCCCATTGCTCAAGAAGGATCCTTTCACAAGTCTCCCAGATGAGCTGTGTCTACGCGTAAGGCAACCTGAAAATTCCAAGGGCCTCTGTGCTAATTTCGTGCCTAATAGATCCTCTCATTCATTGATGATCCGAAAGTCTTGGCTCGTGCGTCGCAAGTATCAAGGAGATGGCGCGACTTGCTCAGCGACGACATGACGTGGAAGAACCTATGTGTGAAGCATGACTACGGCAGACGTCTTTCGGAGGTTTCTGTTCCTATGGGCAGCGCATCGCGACCTGGCGCTCAGCCTCTTTGGGGTGACAACGAGTATGCCAGCAGCAGCTTCCCGGGTGCGCTGCCTATGACGGCTCATGCCTCTGGCTCACGCAGTCTCGATGGCTCAAATACACGGCCCAAAATGAGATCATACAAGTCGCACTTCAAGCAACGATACCTTGTTGAGGCAGCCTGGAGATCTGGCGGCACCAGCACAACCAGGAACATTACTCAAGAAGGGGGTGTTGTGACAAGCCTACACTTGACGCCCAAGTACATCATCGTGGCCCTTGACAACGCCAAGATTCACGTTTTTGACACAAAGGGCAATGCTCAGCGTACTCTGCAAGGTCATGTCATGGGCGTATGGGCGATGGTGCCCTGGGAGGACATTCTGGTTAGCGGTGGATGTGACCGCGATGTGCGCGTATGGAACTTGGCAACTGGGTAAGCAATTACAAGTTGCGACATCGATCATCTCGCTAACATACGCAGCGCCTGCCTCCATACTCTTCGGGGTCACACATCAACTGTGCGCTGTTTGAAAATGTCTGACGCTAACACGGCGATATCGGGCTCGCGCGATACGACGCTTCGAGTGTGGGATATTCGAACCGGGTTGTGCAGAAATGTCCTCGTTGGCCACGGCGCCAGCGTCCGATGCTTAGAGATCAAGGGAGACATCGTTGTGTCAGGCAGCTACGACACCATGGCCAAGGTCTGGAGCATATCGGAGGGCAGATGCATTCAAACACTTCAGGGTCACTTCAGTCAGATCTATGCCATCGCCTTCGACGGCAAGAGGGTGGTCACCGGCAGCTTGGACACCAACGTTCGGATTTGGGACCCTAGAACTGCGTAAGTACACAGAATCTGTGGCATGGTGACTGATTTACTGACCAGATGCAGTGAATGCTTGGCCATTCTGCAGGGCCACACATCTCTCGTCGGACAGCTGCAAATGCGCGGAGACACTTTGGTAACTGGTGGCTCTGACGGATCTGTACGTGTGTGGTCTTTGGAGAAAATGTGCCCCATTCATCGACTCGCTGCGCACGATAACAGCGTGACCAGCTTGCAGTTCGATGATACGCGCGTTGTCAGTGGCGGCAGTGACGGCAGAGTAAAGATTTGGGACCTCAAGACTGGTCACCTGGTCAGAGAGCTCATCGCCCAAGGGGAGGCTGTTTGGCGAGTGGCTTTCGAAGACGAAAAGTGTGTTGCACTGGCTTTGAGACAGAATCGAACCGTGATGGAGGTAAGATATCCCACAACCCCAACTCACGGCTTTCATGGCACTGACATGCTGCTAGGTGTGGTCTTTCTCTCCACCCGAGGACGTGTTGTATGACCGTCCGCTCTCCCTTCAGCAGCGCGTTTTGCAAGAAACTCCGAATCGACCAATGAGCGCTATGCAACTCGATTTTAGACAACAGCAGCCGACTGTCGCCGGCCCAAGCCGGGAAGCCGCCGGAAGCCAGGATGTAGATATGAGGGATGCCGGCCCTTCTACCGCCCCTCTTCAAGGCGGTAACAAGACGTTTTTCCATGACGACTAGAGGAACCTTCTGCGGACGGAGCATGACCGAGGGTTCCTACAAGCAGCGATGATTATCGCACCACAAAGATTACAGTTGGTACATACGCATTGGCGGCGTCTACTACCAGGGCATCTTCGACTTGCCGGTGGACCATGATGCCACAGCATCAATACCGCTTTTTCAGCAGGTTTTTTTATTATTATTGATGACGCGCTTCTCAGCATAGACTATGACAGCCGTCCAGATTAAGAAGGATGGCCTCGTTCGGCGTTGGTCAGGAAGCATTCATGCATTTGGAAGGGAGACGAGCATGCCATTGACAGCATTTTGGGGGTGGGTTCCTTCGCTTTGGGGTCTTCAGGGACGGACGATGTGCGGGAGTCACGATTGGGAGGCGCTGAAGTTGCTCAGCATTGCCTCAGCGGCCACGCCGGCTGCTTTTTTAATATACCCCATGGTAGAGTATATAGTAGAGCTATATACTGCCTCAGACTGAAACTTCTCAATGAGGTTGCCATGTGGTTAATGTCAGTCGAAAGAGTTCGCTTATTGAAAGATCCGGTAGGCTGTTCAGGAGTCGCAATCGGAACTCGTGACGGGCGATGCTGCGCATTGAATGTGTGTAAGCCTCAACACAACCTAAGTGCCCAGAACAGCAGAGTGCAGGCGGAGTATTGTCGTCGGCTCGGCGAGCAACGGATTAACAAGCGCGCTGGTGGGATGTCCGTCGGGAGCGCCAACTGGACGAATTGAGTTCTCGCCTCAGCAAGTTAGACGGGGGGCTTCTGCGGCGATTGGGAAAGATTGCCCTCAATTCCCTTGCTATCTCCGATAGTCGCTCAACTCTATGAGCGCCGAACGAAAAAAAGACCGACCGTTGCAAGCCGGGCCCACCAGAAATTGAGGACAATGCCACCGCTCGGAACGAAGTGGCAGGGTGTCTTTGGAGCAGGCGCACTTGCAAAACTCCCGTTGAAGGTCACGTGTTTAGGAGCTAAGCCCATCTGGGACTAGTAGTTTTCAACAAGCAGCAGCTCCCTTCCCAACCAACGCCGCGATTTTTCGGAGCTCCAGCGGCCAAATAATTTGTTGTCACCCTCCTTCCCCCGAACCCTTCACATCCTCATCGACCGGAGGCTCCATCATCTCAACCCCCACGATGTTCTCCCGCGCGATCAGGTTAAACCGAGCGGTGCCTCTGCGCACTCGCGCTCCCGCCTCTTTCGTTCCCGCGTCCCGGTCCGTCACCACCAATGCCGCTTCTGCGACCCTGGAGAAGAGCCTCCCCAAGGTCAGTTTGCGCTCTTTTCCCGCCGCCATATCCGGTCACGAACTCTCGGAATACCACCGCCTGCACCGATCACGACTCACTCAGTGGTTCAAAATGGCTGATAATTTTGCCTGTTTTAGTCCGACGATGAGCCTTTCAAGGTTACCCTGAGCGACGAGAGCTTCGAGACCTATGAGCTCGACCCCCCGCCATACACCCTCGAGGTTACCAAGAACGAGTTGAAGCAGATGTACAAGGACATGGTTGTTGTCAGGTATGGTGGTGTCTATCCAAGTGCGAAATCTGCACCCATCCGACCCCTCAACTAACCCCACGTTCAGACAAATGGAGATGGCTGCCGACCGATTGTACAAGGAGAAGAAGATTCGTGGTTTCTGCCACTTGTCTACCGGTCAGGAGGCTGTCGCTGTTGGTATTGAGCACGCTCTGACCCGCGAGGACGATGTTATCACTTCTTACCGTTGCCACGGTTTCGCTTACATGCGCGGCGGCACTATCCGCTCCATTATCGGCGAGCTTCTGGGTCGCCGTGAGGGTATCGCCTACGGCAAGGGAGGTTCCATGCACATGTTTGCCAAGGGCTTCTACGGTGGCAACGGTATCGTCGGTGCCCAGGTTCCCGTCGGTGCTGGTCTTGCCTTCGCCCACAAGTACACCGGCCGCAAGAACGCCTCCGTTATTCTGTACGGTGACGGTGCTAGCAACCAGGGTCAGGTCTTTGAGGCCTTCAACATGGCCAAGCTTTGGGGTCTGCCCGCCCTCTTCGGATGCGAGAGTAAGTTTTCCGCCAACACTAGGGTGAACCAGCCCGACTGACGTGTATATCAGACAACAAGTACGGCATGGGTACCGCTGCTGCTCGCTCTTCCGCCCTTACCGACTACTACAAGCGTGGTCAGTACATCCCTGGTCTGAAGATCAACGGCATGGACGTCCTCGCTGTCAAGGCCGCCGTTAAGTACGGAAAGGACTGGGCTGTCGCCGAGAACGGACCTCTCGTCATGGAGTACGTTACCTACCGCTACGGTGGTCACTCCATGTCCGACCCCGGAACCACCTACCGCACCCGTGAGGAGATCCAGCGCATGCGCTCCACCAACGACCCTATTGCCGGACTGAAGCAGAAGATCATGGACTGGGAGGTTGTCACTGAGGATGAGCTCAAGGCCATTGACAAGGAGGCCCGCAGCTTCGTCAACGAGGAGGTTGCCGCCGCCGAGGCTATGGCCGTCCCTCAGACCACTCCCCAGATCCTGTACGAGGACATCTACGTCAAGGGCACCGAGCCCAAGTACATCCGCGGACGCACCGCAGAGGAGTCTTTCTACTTCAACTAAATTTCCCGCATGAAAGAATAATTGTCTCCTAACCAACCTGTCATGTTGTACAATACCTGCTAGCTAGAAAGGGTGAAGTGGTCACAATCTGAACACGGCCGGGGACTGAAGATATCCACCTGGTTCGACATCTCTAGTGTTCGGTTATGCATTATGAAGCGTAAACAATATGTATTCAACGTCTAGTGAATTGTAGCGCCGTAATATTTGCCAGCGATCTCGTATATCATGCTTTCGGCCTCAGTGAAAGTTGAGACCGAAACTTCAATTGGTGCATAAGCCAACTGCCCAATCCGGCAATCGGCCTAGTCTTCAAAGTGGGTCCATGCACTGAACGAGTCCTTTTCGCGTCACTGGCAGGTCCCTACGCCGGCGCACCTTCTGTGCTAATTAACGCGTTTCTGCCTGGAGCGGCGCGTCGAGCTTCCCCATCGCCGCACGCCAAACTTCATGTCTGCCTTCGCCTGCGCCCGCCTTTTAAGAAGTCCAATTCCTCGCAGGACCACGACCAGAGCGCTCTTCAGTTGCCACACCAGATCCTTTACTGTTTACCGTCGATCGACTCGTACAATGGCGCCGAAGCAGGCCACACTGGGGTACGTCAAGCCCTCGCAGACGACATTGGGGTGTGTACAAGGGCGAAGTCCTCGGAATCACTATGGAAACCACAGGCTGCTTCTCTGATGCGTCTTGGGGTCCTTGCATGGCTCAAACGACACCGTACTGACTTTTCCAACAGCAAGTTCTTCGGGGCGAAGGGCTCTAAGCCTGAGCCACAGCAGAGCAAGCTGAGCTTTGCCACCAAAGCAGCTCCAAAGAAGGAGGCCAAGGAGGAGGCCACCACCGTTGATGATGCGAGGGACAAGAAGGGTGCATCTAGTATGCCCGCCTCAGCCTGCTCCATTGTACGGAATGCTCACAGATCACCTACAGAGGCGAGGAAACGTACCCGAAGCCCGAGTCCCATTGCCAAGCCGTCGAGCCCTGAAGTTAAGAACGAAGACGTTGAAGAGGAAGACGATGCGCCTGTCTCTAAGAGGCCACGAAGGGGCCGTCAGCGTGTTGTAGACGAGGAGGACGAAGATGACGTGATGGACGAGGCTCCAGCCAAGTCACCTAAATCTACAAAAGCACAGAAGAGCGGCCCAAAGAAGGTAGAGAAGAAAGCGGCGGACGCCAAGTCCACAAAGTCAACGGCTACGGCGCCTGCGAAAAAGTCCAAGTCTCCTTCTCCAGCGGTCGCTACCAAGGATGAAGATGAGGAGTCAACAGCTTCCGCCTCTGAGGCCGAAGAGATTGAGGACGAAGAGGAGGAAGTCAAGTCCAAGACGGCTAAGAAAACCCTGGAGAAGGTCCAGATGAAGCTCAAGACAGCGACCAAGGACCCTTATCCCGACTGGAAGCCAGGAGAACCGGTTCCCTACGCGGCGCTCTGCAAGACCTTCTCTCTCATTGAGACGACAACCAAGCGGCTTGAAATTATGGCTCATTGCTCGCTCTTTCTCCGCCAAGTCATGCGTCTGACGCCCGATGATCTCCTACCCACTGTTCTTCTCATGATCAACAAGCTGGCCCCTGACTATGCTGGTATAGAGCTTGGCATCGGCGAGTCGCTCATCATGAAGGCCATTGGTGAGACTACAGGACGCAGTCTTGCTATCATCAAGCAAGATCAAAAGGAGATTGGAGATCTTGGCCTCGTCGCGGTCAAGAGTAGATCAACTCAGCCAACCATGTTCAAACCTAAGGCTCTGACGATCAGGGGAGTTCACAAGGGCTTGATGGGCATCGCCACAGTTTCTGGCAACGGAGCTCAAGGCCGCAAGGTGGATTCGATCAAGAAGCTGCTGTCGGCAGCTGACGCCCATAACATCGGAAAGGTGGACATTACTAAAGACAAGGGAGGCCCCAGCGAAGCCAAGTATCTCGTTCGCTTCCTCGAGGGCAAGCTCCGTCTGGGTCTGGCAGAGAAGACAGTCTTGGTCTCACTGGCCCAAGCCGTAACGTACCACGAAGCAGACGCCAAAGGCCAGTCCCCAAAGACAACAGACGTCGAGCAAGCGGAGGCTATCCTCAAGCAAGTCTACAGGTATATTTGATCTGGTTCTTTTGCCAAAACGGTACTGACTGTGCGCAGCGAGCTTCCCAGCTACGATGTCATCATCCCAGCAATGGTGGAGCATGGCATCATGAATCTCCGCGAGCATTGCAAGCTTAAGCCTGGCGTGCCCCTGAAGCCCATGTTGGCGAAACCAACAAAGGCAATTACCGAGGTACTTGATCGCTTTGAGAACCAAACGTTTACTTGCGAATACAAGTACGACGGTGAAAGAGCGCAGATACACTATGTGGCGAAGAATGCGGATGAGGAGCTTAGTCAGTCCTTGCCGGGAGCTACGCAAGCTGCGGCAGACGGTGTCGCTTCAATCTTCTCGAGGAACTCCGAGGATCTTTCCAAAAAGTACCCGGATATCCTGGCAAAGCTACACACCTGGGTCAAGCCCGACACCAAAAGCTTCGTCCTGGACTGCGAGACTGTTGCTTGGGATGTTGACGAGAAGAAGGTTCTTCCTTTCCAACAACTAATGACCCGCAAGAAAAAAGATGTCAAGATCGAGGACGTCAAGGTCAAGGTTTGTGTGTTTGCTTTCGACTTGCTCTATCTCAATGGCGAAGCTATCGTTGAGAAGCCCCTTCGCGAGCGCCGTGAGCTTCTCGAGAACGCCTTTGCGCCGGTCGAGGGTGAGTTTGCTTTAGCAACACACATGAACGGACAAGAGCTCGAGCAAATCCAAGAGTTCCTTGACGAGAGTGTCAAGGCGTCCTGTGAAGGTCTCATGGTCAAGATGTTGGACGGTTCGGAGAGTGGGTACGAGCCCAGCAAGAGAAGTCGCAATTGGCTCAAGGTGAGTGCCGCTATGATCCCTCGTTTTCTCGCTGCCATTTACGCCGATATTCTGACCGCTCTTCTTCTTTTCTAGATCAAGAAGGATTACCTCAGCGGCATCGGCGACTCGCTCGATCTCGTTGTGTTGGGCGCGTATCACGGAAAGGGCAAGCGCACGTCGGTCTACGGCGCGTTCCTCCTCGCGTGCTACAACCCATCGTCCGATTCGTATGAAACCGTGTGCAACATCGGCACGGGATTCTCCGAAGCGGTCCTCGAGGAGCTGCACAAGCAGCTCTCAGACATTGTCATTGACCGGCCGAAGCCATTCTACGCGCACTCCTCGGGCGGACAGCACCAGCCCGACGTCTGGTTCGAGCCTCGTTACGTCTGGGAGGTCAAGACGGCCGACTTGACGCTCAGCCCGCGCTATAAGGCCGGGTGCAAGGAAGGCGTGGACCCGGCCGGCGAGAAGGGCATCTCACTGCGTTTCCCGCGATTCATCAAGCTGCGCGACGACAAGAAGCCCGACGAGGCTACCTCCAGTCGCCAGGTGGCCGAGATGTACCGCAAGCAGGAGAACGTCACCAAGAGCAAAGGGCCTGCTGTGGATGACGATTTCGAGTATTAATAATGAGTATGAGGCTTATGCGCTCTGGACAAGTTGAGAAATAGGAATTGGATGTTTCCTTTTGGGGCGTTTTAGCACTGGCCTTTTTTTCCCGAAAGTTTTCCGAAAGATGGGAAAAGTTGAGGGAATGCGTATTTGTAAGAGAGAAAAAGAAGGAAGGGAGGGTACTGACTATACACCACGACCACCACATGGGTCTAAATTTGCTTCACTCCAGAAACGCCATGCACTCCTGCCACTGCTAGCTGCGGCTCTCTGTGCTCATGCCGACATCACCTTATCTGCGTGCGTGCGTCCAATATCTCCGTTCCTTCGGTGCATGTCTCACGGTGGGAAATCCCGTCTCGATTTACTTTGACCTCGCATGCGCATGCATCCAGGCAGCACCGGGTCGGACGTCTGGCAGTCGCTGCTGCGGGCTCGCTCGTCATCGTGCTTGACACGGCAGCTCGTTTACTCTCTCTCTCTCTCTCTCTCTCTCTCTCTCTCTCTCTCTCTCGTGTGATGGAAGGGCATGGTAGGTGATGTACAGATTGAGGGATTGAGTACGTTCAGCGTAGAGACATTACTCGTATGCATATTTTGGTCGTTAGTTATCCTATGGTACAGCTGCGAAGGTGCAAAGGTGGTTGGTCACTCATTTTCTATCCGTGACTCAGTTCCATCAGATGCGAAGCATCGTCCAAAGGGGCTAGCGATGGCTTGCTAAGCTTCGGCGAGACGACTCCTGCCCGCCTTGGCCTTCTGAACCGCATGGCCCATCCCGATACCTTTCCTTCGGCCCCGAATTACAGCCTCTAGTGCCTTGCCCACGGCTGGCAGGTCGCCGAGCATGGTCAAGTGGCCGCGCCTGGTGCGTACCAGACCATTGTTCACCAGCTCGTATCCCTCTGGCAGCTGAGCCTCACGACTTAGAACGACACCGTCTCCGGCACCAAAGATGAGATTGTCGTAAGCGTCGGCGTGAGCAATAGCCTCGCGACTACTAACGTTCACCGCAGAGACGGTCGGAATCTCCTTGCTGTAGATAACGCCGAGAGGTGGGTAGACGTTAGCTTCCGTATGCGCCGGCTTGTACTGCGTCTCGGCGCGGAACCTTTTCACCTCTGCAAGCGTGCGCTCGAGGTAAGCAAGATTTCTGGCACGGTTGGGCGGCTTTGGTGTTCCTGGAACACCCTTGGTGAAGGGCGACGGTGTATTCTGATGAGAATCTTGGTGATTAACGTTTCCGTCAATCTGGGGGTTGAGAATGCCCTCTCGTGCAAGCTCGACTCGACGCGCAGCATCAGCCAAGGATGATGATGGTGGGACGTGGCTGTTCTTTTTCTCGCTCGAGGCGCGACTGCGAAGCGGAAGAAGGGAGCTGAAATTGTATGGGCTCTCCTTCGGGTTGAGCGGTGGTAATGTTGCCTCTATACATGGCGAGAGGCGGTACTTGATCCAAGTGTTGATATCGTGAAAGTCGACACGATATTCCTCTTT